GCACGCTCTAGCGAATTTATCCACGAGGATTTGGAGCTCCGTCTGGCTGTGAGCAACGAAAGCAGCATCATCAGCAAAAAGAAGACTGTCTACGAACAAGTCTCTACAGTGTCGCTTGGACTTCAGCCTCCTTATGTTGTACATCTTACCGTCAGATCTTGTGTGTAGATGAACACCTCGTTGGTAGTCTCCAAATGCAACTTTCAAGAGTACAGAAAAAAATATTCCGAAGAGGGTAGGTGCCAAAACACACCCCTGCCGAACGCCTCGACGTATGTTAAAAGAAGCAGATGTCTCGCCATTATAAAGGATTGTCCCTTCCATACCCTCGTGAAATGACTGCACTATCTTCAGTAGTTTCGGGGGGCAACCAACGCTGACAAGAACTGAGTACAGCCCCTCTCTGCTCACCGTGTCAAAAGCCTTGCTTAAGTCTACAAAGGCGACGACCAGAGGAGTGTTCTGCTCTCTCTACACTTTTCCTGCACTTGTCGAAGAGAGAATATCATGTCGACAGTAGACCGTTGTGCCCGAAAGCCGCATTGTGCCTCTGGATATATGCGGTCGGAAAGCCTTTGCAGTTTAGCCAAAATGGCCCTAGCAAAAGCCTTGCCGACGATGCTAAGCAGAGATATTCCGCGGTAATTATTGCAATCACCGCGGTCGCCATTGCCTTTGTAGAGAGTGACGATGTTAGCATCACGCATGTCTTGAGGCACGCAGCCCTCTTCCCAGCATTTGGTCAAGTTGTTGTAGAGGAGGGGTAGGACACACTTAAGTTTGACGATTTCCGTGTAAACTTCGTCTTTGCCCGGGCTTTTACCATCTTTGAGCTGCTTTACGGCCAGGTAGAGTTCCTCTATAGTAGGAGCAGTGTCTAAATCATGCCAAGTATCCAGATTCGGGATTAATCCCACCGTTTCAGGCTGGATGTCTACTGGACGTGAGTAGAGCCCCGTGTAATGCTCCACCCATCTTGTCATCCGGCGGCTGCTGTTTTTTATGACGGAGCCGTCGGATTCTTTTAGAGGTGCCGTCTTCTTTGAGGTAGGTCCAAGAGCTCTTTTAATGCCTTCATAAACTCCGCCGATGTTCCCCGCGTCCGCACATGCTTGGATGCGTTGACAGAGCTCTGTCCAATATGCATTTGCGTAGAAGCGAGTGCTACGCTGAAGTGAGGCTTTTGCCTTATTAAGCTCTTCCCGCGCAGCATCGCAAGGATTAAGGCGATAGTTTATAAAGGCTTGACGTTTTGAATCGATTAGGCGCAGTAAATGCTCCTCGTTTTCGTATATCCAGTCGTGAGATTTCACCCTTTGGTACCCGAACACTGTACCTGCAGTGTCTGTGAGGAGGGACTTAATTTTATCCCACTCGGCATGTGCTGACATAGAACTATCCCATGTTGCAATTTCATCACGAACTTTTGCCCCGAAGGACTCCACTGCTTCCAGATCACGGGTCTTAAAAAGATTAATCTTCTTTCGACCGAGTGGCTTAGATGAGTGAATTCTCTTGGGAACTAATCGGACTTTAGTAACAACAAGGCTATGATCACTGTCGCAGTCAGCACTATGAAACGTCCGTGTATGGAGCGTTTCTCGCAGGTCCCTCTTTTTGGTAAGGACAAGATCTAACTGGTGCCAGTGCTTTGAGCGAGGGTGCATCCAAGAGACTTTTCACATCAGTTTGCCTTTAAAGAACGTATTGGTGACACACAGCCGGTTTCTAGAGCAGAACTCCAACGATAGTTGCCCGTTGTTGTTTAGCTTACCTATGTCCCAGGCGCAGCAGCATCCGCGGAGAGGATACTTCGCCCACCTGCTATTCAGGGGGGAAACAACACGGGGAGTGGCAGTTACCGGTTATAAGCTTGCACAAATAGGCGTCATACGTGCGGGCGCCAGGGGCTACTCTCGACAGTGGGAGGATCCATCGAAGATCTACTGATCAGTTACCGCCTGCTACAAGTTGGGCACTCCCCGACCAATAAGGTACTGATCCGCCTCAGCGCTAACTTGTCCCGTCTGGGTGAACGGGACAACGGCTTCGCAGTTCAACGTTGGCGCTGTAAAATCAATCACCTGCTCGAAAAAACGCAAATACTCCCAAAACCAACAATAATGCTTCTTACATGCGCTACGCCACATGGAATGTCCGTACAATGAGGACAGGCTTCCCGAACATCTCTGGAAGTTCAGAATGCGCTCAAAAACTGTGCAAAACATTCAGTATTGACGCGGAGCTCAAAAGGCTGAATGTCGATATTGCAGCTTTACAGGAAACCAGAATCGAGGATGAAGGCTCTATCCGTGAAGCTAACTACACTTTTTACTGGAAAGGCAAGAGCTCCTCAGAAAAAAGAGAGCACGGAGTTGACTTTGCGGTGCGTAATCACTTAATCAACGCGATAGAGCCACCAATTGGTATATCTGAACGCATCATGATCTTGCGACTTAATACTAAAAGCGACTATGTTACTTTTATCTCCGCTTACGCACCAACACTCAACGCTACATCCGAGACCAAGGACCAGTTTTACAACCAGCTCGAAGAAACGGTTCGTAATGTGCGATTATCCGACAGACTACACATTTTGGGTGACTTTAACGCTCGTGTCGGTCAGAATTCACCTAACTGACCTGACCCCGCACGTCATAGGTATGCTCGTAAAAGCATTTATTTAACTACCTAAACGTTTCTTGGGTCCGTATGAAAGTCTGCCAATTTCCATCGCGTGATATCAATCATTTGATATTTGTCAGCAGTTTCGAATTTCGCCAGTAATCAGCTGAATGCTCGCACGGTTTTAGTTGATGCCCACATTTCGTCGATTTCGCTTTGAAATCGAGCGACTGGGTGATGAGGAACGCTATTCATCGTCATCATCGCTAATTCAGCATGTTTGAGTTCTCTGCTGAACATACGCCACCCTACAGGCTGCCACGAAGCAAGTTCCTGGGCCACCTGCATCCATCGACTTAACGCACACTTGCGCAGGTCCTCACTCCATCTAGTGGGGTGTCGCCCTACACTACGACTAGACTTAGGGAATAAGTAAGCGAAAGTAGCAACGGGCTGGCCATATAGCTAAAAGAATCAATAACTAATGGGGAAGAAAGGTTCTCGAGTGGCAGCTTCGTAGTTACGATATTACTTCTATGATTTCTGAAATGATAAGTTGTTTTGCTTTAGTCAAAAGCTCGTGGGTTTTTGACTGCGTGGCGCAGTTGTCAAGATATTGGCTTCGACCTAAGGGGTCGTGGGTTCAATTCCCACACGAGACAAGTATTTGTGTGACCCCCAGATAATTGTTTCGGGTCTGGGTGTTTGTCACTGAAATTTATGTTTATAAAAGGCTCTCTCAACACGGGTTAATGGTATCCTACAATGAGGGCTACGTTTATTTTAAATATAAACAAAATAATACTTCTATTCGCGTATTTACTTATATGAGCGGCTTTGAATGCAATGAAGAAAAGTATATATAACGACGTAGGTAAATATCGGCAGACGTTAAAGTTTTGGTTAATTTTATTGATATCCTTAGGCCACCGCTTGAATGTAAGGATGAAACCAGACTGACTTGGGATTCGAATTTGAAATCGAATCGTATGAATTGGCCGCTGAATGAGTGCGTTTTTTTTATTTTTTATTAAAATTCATTTCTATCAGTCCACACTTGGGACTAGAGCTCGATGAAACGTGGATAGCTTGTGCATTAAGACATATAAGTGGTAACTTACTTACTAACGTAGTATTAATTTTTATGTATAATTTTGACGTTTCATAAGAACACGCAAGCGTCTATATGAATAAAGTTATTTTGAGTTTTAATTTGAATATACATTGAATATTAATCTCTACACAAACTTAACAATATTTGCTAAACAAAATTATTAAAAGTACTTATAATTAGCTATCTCTGTCGACCATGTTGCGGTTAAAAGGTGCGAGGGCTTGTCTTCATAAACCTCTCCGAAAACGAATCTGAGAGGAAAATTTAAGGTCAGATTGTGACGCATTCCAAACGCGAAGGGAGCGGAGAGTTGCCGAGCGGCTAATTGGCTAGTTGACCCCTGTCAAAGATATTCTTTTTGTTTGTGTGATGGAATGCTGCATCTTAAGGAGTTAGTTGCATAGATTAAAAGCGTTGCTTCGATACACGATTTTATATTGTGAATTAATAGGAAGAAAACTATCTTAATACTCTACTGTTGGAGGCCATATATTTTATTGATAATTTTGAAAACACGTGTTTGGTAACACATGCCCTGTACCTACGATTGACTCGGATTGAACAATACTTAACTGATTGGCTTTGCCGTAGAGATTTAGGATAAAATCCCTTCGATAAGTGAGGTGGATTCTACGTGTTGTTAAGATTGGACTGTCTTCAATTTGTTTGAGTTCGGCCGGTGTCTTTTTTTAAGTAAAACTTGTCAAGTGTGCAAGCGTTTCACTTGACGTTAAGTGAGTTCAGCCGCCCATGGCATCCTACAACACCTGATGCGTTAACTTTAAGAAAAAGTGGGCCCCGCTTAGTTCACCCACCATGCGAAGCGTGAAAGTATAATTCTTCCTCTTCGAAAGGTCTTCTGCGAGAATTCTCTTCTGCGAAGTCTACTCATTCGTGCAACAGCAGAAATTGTTGCGTGGCCCTACTTATGACCGTAAAATTTTTTCTTAGTACTAATATAAAATATCTGAAAGAAAAAAATTGTCTTAAAAATGCCACATTGCTGGCCAATAACATTCCTTAAGGACATTTATTTTAAAAATGTAAATAACTTGCTTTTACCAAAGTAATGTGATGTTAAGATCAAGACTGAATAGGCTCACCACCGCTTACGACCAGATACGATAATAACTGGCCGTTTCAGGATGTCAAAAAAGAAAGAAATACAATATTACACGTCTTCCGTCATACACGACGGTAATAACTGGCCAGTTTGCGATGTGAAAAAAGAAATAAACACAAATTTACACGTCGTCAACAGCGTTCCTTGTATGCGGCCGCCTGATGGTCGTGGTGAACGTCCACTGGCCCGAGATCCAACACGAGGAGCTTCGCGCCCGGCTCGACGGGGCGGCGGCTTTGGCCCTCTCCTGCAGGATACCGCTGATCGTCGCCGGCGAGTTCCGATGCTGGGACAACGTGCAATGTAAGTTCGCTAACATCACTTCATTCATCGACCGCCGCCATTCTTTTTTGTTTTTTTTTTCATGGCAAAAGCAGGCAATAGTGCAAGCTGGTCACCCGATGGTAAGCGATCACCGCCGCCCATGGACACTTGCAACATCGGTCGAGTCACTCCTATCTTAAACATGGTTTAAGTTAGGATTTTCCTCTCTTCTTGAAGGTCCCTACGTCGTATTCTGAAATGCAGCTGACGAATCGAACTCGTTCCACAAAATGGCCATCGATTACTCCGATCCTTTCGAGTTGGGACCGAAGTGCGTATTTTACAATTAGTTGTTTCTATTACGTTGAGTATGAGTATTCGTAATATACAAATGGCTAAGTCCTATCTCGCTAGAGTGATCATCGTTGAGTGGGTGTTTTGTTGCTTTGTGGACGTACTCTAGGGCGCATCTGACCAAACGAAGGAACAACGATGCACGAGGCAGCTACCACCGACTAGATGTGTTAGAGGTGTGATGCATATCCGGGAGTCAAATGTCGTGATTTATTATAACCTGTTCGTAACATTTGTAGGGTGATGATGACGAGTGCATTTCGTTTGTTCCCATCATCACCTTGCATAAGTCCACTGCTGGACAGGCATCCTGACATTAATCGTGACCTTTCGGCATTTAGTCCACCCATCGTGTCATGCTGGATTAAGGTCGTTTTCGGTTCTCGATTTAACCTTTACACGGTAAAGCCAATATAATCGTTATAAGGTAGTTGTTTGTTCAGACTGGGCATTAGACCAAGGACCAAAGACCAAGACCAAAAACTCGCATCATCCCCTAATCTCACCTAGTTAGAACGGTCAGTACATGTGAATCAGGTTAATAAGTTCGGCTAGGTTTTTTACCCTATCGTCGACTCTCGGAAACAAATTGAAAGACTTTATTCAATAAATAATGTAAGTGTGAAGTCAATATACTACTACAACAACAACAAGAACAAACCTTAGGATCCGGAACAATTAACTGTGGTTCAGGAATGCTTGTCCCGTGTGCGAATTGACCCCATGGCGCTGAATCAATAGCTTAGCAACTGCGCTACCGTGTCATCGTGCCTATAAAATAGAATATATTTAGACAGTATGACGTATCGCTTTCTTTAAAAACACGAACTGCCAGTGTGATCACATTACTCATCGTCAAGCCAATTTTAATACATACTAGCTGTGCCCGCAACTTCGTCCGCGTGGAATTTAAAATAAACAAAATATCTAAAATAAAAGTAGACTATCAGTTACTCCTTATTACATCACCTCTCTGCCAGTGAAAGTCCCGTAAAAAGCGGTCCAGAGATTAGCCGGAACATACAGACAAAGAGACAAAAACTGTTAAAAATATTATTTTGCATTTAGTAAAAAGCGGTTATTTTAATATTACAAACGGACACTCCAATTTGATTTACCTGTATCGATTACCTTCCAATCCAATTAAAAAAAGCAAACGATTTAAAAATAAGGTAACGTATTGCAACAAATTTACGTTAGAAGTTTACGGTAAACATTAAGTTTTTTTTCGTTGATTGTACGGCTCGTGCACGATTTTTGCTTAGTAGTATAAAAAAACGTTCCGTACCGTTATCTACCGATATCGTGCGTAACAGCTTGGTGATAGGACAGACAGACAGCGGAGTCTTAGTAATATGGTCCCGTTTTACCCTTTAGATACCGAACCCTAAAAAAGTGGTATCGATTGAATGTTCCGGAATTAGGATTCAAAGGTTTTGTTTTACGCTACCAAAAAATACACAACAATTACAACATTTACAATACAATTACAATTCAACATTTTAAATTTCATTAGAAACCACAACTAATACTAGTGTTCACTTTAATTTACCAATTTAGTTAAGAGCGCGGCAATAGTTATCGCGTCCGCAAATTCACTCAGCCATAGCAGTGCAATTATATTACGTAGTCAATAACGACTTTGTACCCACAGATAGCTATTATTTGTCCTACACGCCGCGCGCCGACGTGTCCTTTGTTGCAAAACGTTTTTGTATTTCGGCCTTACTCATTACGTGTGGCCCAAGCGACAAGAGGCGTGCGTAAACTAGAATAACTTATTAACATCATTTATTTATGTGTTTTAGATAAATCAAATAATATGATCTATGCAAATAATATGATCTAATTATAAACATAACGGCTGCACTTTTTTTTCGTTTTGTACATTAATTTATTTATTCAGCGTTATCTACCAATAAACCTTAAGATAGCCCAGAGAAGATTTAACATCAAAAAACCCGATTAGCTCAATCAAGAAAGTTATAAATTAAAATAAAACATACTTTTATATAATATATTATAATCTACAGAGATAAGCAATGTAAATATCTAAAATAAACGATATTTTAACTCAAAAATGACAAGACTAGCTAAGCTAAAGAACCACGCATTTGATTGCAGTCAACCAATCAATCTATTTATTTGCCAAATAGCTGACACAACGTAACCACTTGGCATTACCTAAACGAAATAATAGTTCTACTTGTACCTGGCGCCTTGCTAACTGTCCGCTTCTAACTTGTACCATCGACATTTAATTGATTAAGTATTAAACAAGCTGATTTTGTATTCTAGTGATCCCTCACTTAATGATAAGTCGTCATAATGAAGGTTTTCATTTTTCTCTAAGTAGATATGATTAAAATTACTATTATTAGGTAGCTCACGCAGGAAATTTAACTAAGTGAATATAAAGGCCAATGCATATAACACATTGACGGTTGGCACTCTTGTTTATTCACGGCATTTTACTACCAAACTTCACCCGTATAGGAATTTTCCTTGTCCATGACCGACAACGCGTTTGTAAATTATGATGTAGCGTATGCCCATTGGCGGTGATTGATTATTATTAGATTCGCTCGCTCGTTGACCTTCGTTTAAACTTAAAAAAAAAACATCAATACAGCAAATATTTCGGATGTAAGCTTCGTCAATTCGCTACATGACAGTGATATGGTAGGTGACGCCAAATATTCTTTACAGAGATGACTAATACTCACACGGGTGGTTCGGGCTATTGTTAATAAAAACATTCTCATTTCAATAGAGAAATATGCTATACCACGTGCTTAGGACCCAATAATTCATGAAACGCTAGCAGACGAACTCTTCAAATAGTGTCAGGTATCGATCGGACAAAATGAATTCTTCTTCAAGTCGTTAAACATGGATTGGTATAAAGTATCGTAAACGTAAGGAATTTAAAACTAAAATATCAATAATAATCAATTAATAAACCAGTCGACTTAAAAAAAATTATGATATTCGCCGCTCACTCGGTCCTGACATCTCTTCTAAACCCTTTTCTAAGCCTTTCAATTGTTAGTTACAAAACATTATATTCTCATTAATATATACAGTAAATATTTAGGTACATTACATTACACAACTGTTCTATTAAAAGTTGCGCCTCTTCATTCGTTGTTTGCATTTTATCGCAATTAGCTTTGGCCAATAAAGGTATATTGAAATAAACTGCCACGGCCAACTCGCTCCTATAAATAAATGTATGACTTTTGGCAACAATAGTGTATGTGACACACAACATAAACATTTAACGTAAAACACATTACATTAAAATAAAACATATCCAATAGATATCTTTGTGTTTTACTGTGTATTTGTTACAATTTTGTATGTGAACCTCTAAAATAAATTCATCAAAATAATCTTTCCTTTTTTCTGTACGTCTTCGGGCTTTTAAACTTCTGACGCTTGACGCCTTTCGGTTTGTCAGATTGTGAGATTGACCAAATTACTCTGTGTACAAATTTATTTCTAAGCTTACAACATTCACATTATTTACACTGTATTCGAAGGAATTTATGAATAAATGACTGTGCCTTTTTAATTAAACGAAAGTCCCCCATGGCTTATTTTTAAGCGCGACGCTAAAAAAAGAAGCTGTTGCCGATAGATTCAAAAAAATAAGATGTAAGAAGTGATCTGGTATTAGACCTAATCAGTGACGGGTCACTTGTTATGAAGTTTATCAAATTACTGTCCAGAGGATGTTTACTCAGTGATGCAATGACAACAGATTTACTGCATCGATGAACGCACCGCAAAATGTTTTACATTTACGTGATCTCCGCAGTGTGCTGACGTCACCACATCAGACATTTACTGCAGACATTGTTTAATTATCTCACCGTCTGAAAGAACAAAGTGACGCGCTAACGATAGCAATTTGTCGTTTTGTCGAAAAAATTTAACACCGCAATAAATATGCATTTGCCGCAATTGCCAAACAATCTGCAGTTAACACATGTTTCTTTCTCCTTTTCGAAACGAGTTGTAGTCGAAATACACTAACACACCCCAATTAAATATCTTATAATATGTATACTTCGATAAATGGATTATTATTCTTAGAAGAAGTGCATACACCATTATTGCAATATCGACAATTCGTACGTAATAAAATAAATATCGTAGCAATTTTTATTTTTAGACAACATGCCCTCAATGACACGGCCCTGTATGAAATAGAACAAAGTGATATTCTTTAAAGTGTAAATCTATAATCTTTGGCAACCCCTGTGTGATGTATACATATGTATACGTATGTATTTATATGTGTTTTTTAACTGAAGGGGTGGCAACCGAGCTGGCGATTCACCTGATGCTAAGTGATAACCGTCGCCCATGGTCATTTGCAACACCCGTAGTGTTACAGATGCGTTGCCACCTTTTAATAAAGTGGGCCCCGGCTACCTCACTCACCAGACGAAACGCAGAAGTAAAACACTTCCACTTCACGCCGGTCTTCTGCGAGGTCGTGGCACTGCCCGTCCGTGCTGCAGCGTAGACTGTTGCGTGGCCCCACCGTTTAATATGGTCCCTCTACGTTTTAGCGCTGAAGAACTGCGAGCCGGTGTTGGATGAGACGGTCTCGACGTGCGTCGATGCCGACTCCGCCGGCAGGGGCTGCATCCTGAGCGCGGGCGGGGCCGCCGGGAGCGGCTGGAACGGGCACGCGGCCGCGGTCAGGTCGGGCCTGAGCCACTTGGCCATTCCGCGCGGCTGGTCCTGGGGCGGGCCCGCCTCCCCCCACTGCCCCGTTTGGGCGGAGGTGAATGTCCCGGATTGACCACAACCGCCCCGCGCCACCGGGACACGCGAGCCGACTTTCGTTGATTCGATCTCTTTCTCTCTGCAACTGTTTCTTTTCGATTGAGGTTAGGTTGTATAAGCGGCCATTGGAATGTCACTTTTGGCGCCATTTCTCTTGTTTTTTTTATTTTGTTAGATAGCCCAATTTGTATTTAACCTTCGTTGGAAAATTTTTGGTGTTTTTGTAATTACTTATCATTTAAGAAAATCTATTATTATATTATGAATTTGAACATTGACTATTTATTTGTTTTAATCGTATGTAAAGTATATTCTAATGTAAATATTTAAGCTTTAAATTTTACCGATTGTTAGGAATTGCTAATTCGTATTTACTCTATTTAGATGGAGACTTTTGCGTCCTTTTTTTAATAGGAGATATATTTTAATATTTTATTTATTGTAGCAAATGAATGAAACGGGGCTCAAACCAAAGGATTTTCAAATATATTTTTAATTAATGACTATTTTTGATGTCTGAAATAGTTAACAAAACGTAATGAATATTGTAAAATTTATTTTACATAAATAAATGATCAAAATATCACAATCAATTAACTTCACAAAATGGCGCGAATGCGCATATATCAAAAAAACAACTAAACACTATATTTCTGGAAAGTTTACATAGTTATTCTTCATATTTTTTTTTAATTATTTTTTTCCTCCATAATTTTAGAGTCCTTTCATTTGATCCTTAATTTGAAAGGTTTTAATATAACTATTATCATTTATCGTTTACCGCTAATTAAAGCATGGTTCTTTGAAACCTGTTATTACCTAAGACCAATGTGGCCAAATAACCAACCTGTGTCAACCAACATCTATAATTGAATTTTTCAAACTATCATCATTTATCTTCAACGTCATTGTCAAGACAATTTAGTGTTCTACAAATTCCTCTCCACTGTGAAAAAAATATGCATATTGACAGATGTCATTGTTTCTCTATAAGGAACTACTGCCAAATTGTACAATCATATTTTCTAGTATGTTACCAATATGCATTATTTAAGAATCGAATTGCATTTGAAATACGGGAGATTTGAGATAAAAACTCGATTCTAAATAATATGTTTGAATTTTATTCGATTTTATTCCTAGTTTCACTCTTGGACATCTATGAAGATTTTTTAATATATTCTCTAGTGACGTGACATCCTTCTTACATACAAACTATCGATATCGAAACTGCGAATTACTTTTCATATCACTGCTTAGTCTTATGGTTAATGTTACCAGATGTAAGAGAAAACATTTAAAAGAATATCATATACGTGGTGTTAAGTCGCTATTGTGCATAAAGTTTTTAAATAAATAAATACATAATTATATATTGAACTAAAATCGAAACATCGTACCTGATGCGGTTCTCCATATTAGCATTAACAGTCGAAAATGAATTTTTGTAGTTATAGGTCATATTTCACAGCGCATCGTGGTTTCGACTACCATACGCTGAATCTACTTCTTATTGTATTAATGTAAGAAACGAACACGATCTCTTATTTACAAAAGAAAATGTAGAATTTTGTTTATGACTTAACCTCTAATTCTGTTCTAAGCTTTTCGTCTTCAGAAATGAAGAGAAAACAGAATTTGTAGGTTTTATCAATTCTATATTTAAAATTTTTCTATTATCTGTAATGTTTTTTTAGCGGCCATGTTTGTCAAGATATTATTGATATAAATTTATCAATTAATGATTTGCAACAGTTCTTCGGTCTTCGATTTAAATCTATATGCTTGTATATTTTATTTAACGTGTGTAATAAGCTCCTTATTTATATTATCATTTAAAATGTTTACTTATTAGTGACTTCAAAAGGCATACAATTCTCCACAAGTTTTACCTAAACGTGTGATAAATAAAAATAATTTATTTTTTATATAAACTTTTTTCTTTATCGTGTATACATACATACCTATCAAACGTTATGAGTTTTGTGTTAAATAATAAAATCTTATGAATTATTGAAATTGCTTCATTTCCACCCTTGGTACTATGATAATACGAATAAAGACGATGAAATGCACAAAAAGAACTTATAAAATATATTTACGTGTTTCACATTGAATTCTTCTAACTTTCAGGTATTAACGTGACCACATATTAGATTTAAACCCAATCACATGAATATTTGTTGAAAAAAAATTTTTTTTTACATTTTAATTTTGCATACGAAATATGAATAAAATTCATACTGCCTATTTAAGCACACCTTTACTTGAATTTAACAACGTCGCATATTCATACAGGAAAAAATAAATGATTCGAAATAGAAAAACACTAAAAAATAGATTGCATAGTGCAGTAAATCAAGTATTTTGGGTTATACATTTTTTTACCGTAAGTTAATTCAGTTCCGCAACGTCGTGAGACTGTTGACCATACTGGAGACTTTGTATACTAATCAAACGAAAACAATTTGTAAAAGCTACCTTAATGGCAAGAGCCTACTATAATGTTCAAGAATACATTGAGGACAAGGATGTGTGGAAATGACTCTTGCTCTGCACTTGCAAGAACCCTGGGTGCTGCTGATATTATCCTAAATAAGTTTGTATAATTGCATAAAAAAATAACAAGATCGCAGAGTTCTTCTCTGTGCTGGTCTAATTTAGTGAACCGGTGGTAGATTTTTTGTTGATGTTCAATAAGAGCTTAAGTTAAGCCTATATTGAATAAAGATACTTTGACTTTGAAAATCAGTATTATCTTCAAAACAATGAATTATATGACCCATGTTCCATAGACATTTTACTCCTTACAGCAACGATGTTTTAATAAAGTTGACGCATGAGGAATTATTTTGAAACCTTTAAAGCAGTTGCAAACTGATACGACTGACTGTAAGTGTCTGGGAGTATTGACGAATTACTTTTAACGTTATAGTCTAAAATGTACTTAAAATCAGCTTGGAGAATTTAAGTGAGGTAAGTAATGTTTTATGTACCTTGATTACCTGATACCTCGAAATTCGCCCATTGACCAAGCTAGCAGGTAGGCTTGCGATCGTAGTACATACTAACACTAGTCAATCATACTCATTTCGTTCGTCAGAAAATACGTGATTTGTGGTGGCCCTGGGATCTTGCTATATAAGTAAATTTGACGGATGATGTAGAAGTATGTTACGGAAAGAGATATCAGTCTATAGAATTGCAATCTAATTACACCTATTGGCGTAATTTGAGTGCCCCAGTTTCGGTGCGCTAGTGCTAGCTATATAAAATTAAACCTTAAAGTTAAAACGTATCATTAACGAGGTTCCATAGACATTTTTCTCTTTTTAGTAGTATCCTTAAGATTATTTTGTGTAGGCGCTGTGTAAGATAAACCCTCGAAGCTTTCTTTTACCGCTTAACACGCGGTAAATAATCATTAAAAAGTGCATTTAACAACTGTATGTGCTTAATTAAAAATCAACTTTTTAAAATGTATATTAAAAAATATGATTTAAAATTAAACAAAGAAATGTCATTTGGGAGTACTTAGCATCGCTATTCGTTCTTGTTTGAAAGATAATATATATCTTATCCTTTAAACGAGCAATTCTTGTATATATATATATACAAGAATATATATATATATATACTAGATGCTACCCGCGACTACGTCTGCGTAGAGGGGTGAAAATTTAGGGTTGTATGTATTTTTTTATGCTGTGTCAAAAAAAAATAGAAACAAAGTTTTATATAAAAAATTAAGGGGTGGACTACCCCCTTAACATTTAGGGGGACGAAAAATAGATAGTAGCCGATTCTCAGACCTACTGAATACGCATATAAAATTTGGTAAAAATCGGTCGAGCCGTTTCGGAGGAGTTCAAGTTCGAACCCCGTGACACGAGAATTTTATATATTAGATATATATAATCTGAATCTCGGAATCGGCTCCAGCGATTTTCATGAAATTTAGTATGTGCGTAGATTCGGGGGCGAAAAATCGATCTAGCTAGGTTTCATTTTTAGAAAATGTCCTTTTATCCCTGTTTTCAGGGGATGAAAAATATCATTCGAATATGACAGTAAATTTCGTCGCAAAATAAAATTATAATTAAAAAAGTTATAATAGCTCGGTCTTTAATCGGGCGGCCCCAAAACAGACGGCCGTGGTTCGTACATAATATCATAATTATGAATTACGGCACACACAGTTTCCGATTTATAGGCTGACATTCAAACATTTATTGACATTAAAATTTCCCAAAAGTCAACGTACTCTAGTAAGCGTCGACATAACCTTAAATAGAACTTACAGCTGTTCAAATAATAATGACGAATAAAATGGATCACATAGAGACAATGGTATTCAACTATGAAACCACCAATCGATCTGATTTCCGGCATATACAACAGTCAACAGAAATCATTGATGAAGTAAAGCCGAGTAAAGGTCCTAAACATAGTAAAATTAGAGAATTGCAAAAGGCGTCGGAGCGGGAGGAAGGTTCGCAGGCAGTAAGTATACTTTGATTCCTACAGACTATAACTTTAAATCGAATGTTTAACCAAAGTAGCTTAAGCAACTACTACATTAAAAAAGTGCACATTGATCTGTCATCAATCTTTTTTCATCGTCTACTTTACCCAGTTTATTAAGATCTAAATTTAGACTTGCAATAACTAAGATGGGATGACATTCACAGCATGCTGCTATCAAAGTAGGTTTAATCATATCCAATTATCAAGGTGCAGACATTTTGGATGGCTTTTAAAAAATATTTTTTTTCATTACACAGCCTTCTTCTTAAAACTAAATCTATATCTTTGACGGCCATCAAGATTAGATATATTTACATTCTTATTAAACCTGTTGTTGCAAATTCAAATTTCAATTGTTTTATTTTGCTGGCTAGTGTTAAGCATCCATTCCACTGATGGCAAGTGATGAAACACTTCACTGGTCATGTTACTCAGTAACAGAATAATTCACACTAGTCTAGTAAACTAACTAAAAATAACTAACTAGGAAACTGATTAAAAGAGGTATATAGTAATACTGTTTTTATACATCATAATTTTTACCAAAAAAAAAACCGACTTCAAACCATTTTTAATACCTATGACATTTGAGGATTGCCCTCGATTTCTCTGGGATGCCATCATCAGCTCCGGGTTTCCTTATCATGGTACCACCCTTGGGATGTCTCCTTTCCAACAAAAAAAGAATCATCAAAATCGGTTTATAAACGACGAATTTATCAGCGAACACACATAAAAAAAATACGGTCCAATTGAGAAACCGTCTGCTTTTTTGAAGTCGGTAAAAAAGACGAAGAAGTTGGATAGGGAGCTGGAGCGAGCGCGTCGGGCTCGGCCGCGCCTCGTCATTGCGCCTGCCGTCAGCATCGACGACATTGAGGACCCACGCGTGCGTCGGATCCTTATAGAGGATGTTTACAAAAGCAACGCCCAGCGCTCGTACGACCAGCCTACGAGTAGCATCGCTAGAGGGCCCCTACCTTCGGGATACACTCGCAATGATCCCGTACGTATGACTATGTTAGAATGGATAGGATTTGGAGGTTCGATTTCATCATCATCAGCCGCAAGACGTACGCTGTTGAACACAGGCCATAGAACGCCACAACGAACGACACTTTGCCATCTGCATCCACCAGTTTCCCAAGAATCTTACGAGATCCATCTAGAGGGAGGCCTTAAATATTAATAATAATAAAGTTTATTTCCTTTTAGTTACGATAATTTAAACTATATTTTCCGATAGCCAAGCGCAAGCGACAAATCGCTAATTAATATATAATTCCAAATTTCTTACAATCATAAGGATCTCCTTTCGAAAATTACGGCGAAAGCGCATGAAAGATTCAAATTTAATAAAAATAAATTGATTATAATCGTTGGTGTAACTCTGAACGCCTCAGGTTCGAATCGTGCAGCGTTCATTTGTCGACAAAAATTCACATTTTGAACATTACAGACGTGAAAAACGTCCAATTTCCTTCAGTTGTCTCTGCCAAAGTTGGCGCCGCCCTACGTTGCGCCGGAATGGCGTTCGGATTGCGTGCAGTGGGACAGGAGGCAGCTACGCGCCCACTGCGACTCCACGAAGGTGTTTTGGCGATCTCACCACCGCCGGTTGGAATATTTAATTTTTTTTTTTCAGTATAAAAACTCGTATATAACTTTCTTTCTGTATATTTATTGACCTGTAAATTGATATTTAACAGCCACCCCATTGCATTATCTCTAGCGACATGCCCACCATACTATACAACATAAGCGTATATATATTTTTAATTAAAGTATTCCAAAATAAATATTATCTCTGATATCCAGGTTAAGAAGTTCTGACGATGTTTTCTAATGTGTTGTTTTTACATGTACATTGCTTGCAGGTAAGAAAATAAGAAATTAAACGGCAAAATATATACATACGTGAAGTGAAATAAAGTCAAAACATCGTCATTTTTATTGTAGACTGATTCTTTGTATTAATTTATACATATGTATGAAAATAGTTTTAATTTTAATACATAATATACAAAAATAATCATGCATATATGAAGTTTACGATATTTCTACGATTAGGTACTTTATGTATTGATGTGATATTGTAAGCCATTATTTAATATAGTATACCTTTAGTATTTTAGCGTACTTCTTATACGTATAAATAAATATACCTTATATTTTCTGTTATTACTTTTTATTTCTATCTACCCTGCTCTTTCTGAATGACTTATTTTTTGCATAAAAATCTAATACTTACTATCTGAAATCCAGCAGTTACAAATCCACATGTCTTTACGTAATAAAGACAGCTATACTCACGTTAAATCGTTGTATGTACCGACTAGCTTCGGACCCATTGGAGGCCCTTCATCGGGGCGAGAGTTATTAGTTCGCTCATGATAATAGCCGAGGCTTCCTCGGGAGCCATCAAGCTTAGTCACCATAACGCGTAACCGAGGTTCAGGCTAGGCGCCCCGAGCGTCCGGCCACCTCAAGTCCGGTGGATCTGTAAAGGCCAACAGTGGTGAAACCTACCAAAAAAAAAATTCGCTGTCGCACACCGTCTCTCACCGTTTCCTACTGCGCGGGTTAACAGGGCGGGGGGCGCGTCTTATTATTACGTAAATAATGTATCACCAAAGTTTTAATAATTTTACCACATGTCTTTGTTGAGCATCCTCACGGTTGTGTGCTGTTCCTGTTTATTTGTAAAAAAGTGACTGCTTGTGCCTAGATTTTTATAAGTGTCAGCATTGATGTGTCTCTTTTTACCCCTACTTTTTAAATGAAAAAGAGGCAAACGAGAGGATACATATAATGGTTAGCGATCTATGTCGCTCATAACTACTTGCAACACCAGAGAAGTAACCTAGTTTAGTGCGTTGTCGCCCCCTTCGCGAAAGTCCCTAAAATATCGGACCGACATTTTATTTATGTCCTGCGCCGCAGGACACCAGAAATCTACAACTTAATGGCAGAAATAATGGAGAAATGTACAACGATCTTTATTTTAAGAAAGAATTTAAAAAACTCGCACTACTTACAATAGATAAGAACCATATAATTCAAAGTCAAATATCTTTATTCAATATAGAAGCATTACACTTACTTATTGATAGTCAAAAAAACTCTACCACCGGTTCGGAAGGAAAGCCACTGACCTGAGAAGAACCGGCGTAAGAAACTCAGCGGGACATTTTTTTAACTTGACAAAAAAAACAAATATGTGTACAATTTATTAAATTCCACTTGGAAGAGCCTGGAGTGATCAATTCATTTCCAGAGTGTGTTATCATTCAAATAATCACTAATACTATAATAGCCATTAACACACAAACGTTCATTTACAAGTTTTTTGAATTTTGCAACGGATTCATTTTGAACGTTTTCTGGGATTTTGTTGTAAAAGTGTATACATTGTCCCATAAAAGATATACTTATTCTACGTTATTCTAGTTGAGGGTAGAACTAATTTATGCTTGTTCCTAGTATTTACATCATGCACATTACTAAATCTTGAAAAGTCATTCTTATTTTTGTGGACATTTGCAAGTATGTACTGAGAAGCTGCAGTCAATATTTTTATTTCTTTAAACAAGTTTGTTAGTGAATCTTTGGGACCCAGGTTATAAACTGCAAAATTCTTCAAAGTTATTTTATATCTAAAAATATGGTAAACATTAGTTCACATCGGTCAGGCTTATTTTATTACGCCATATTAAAAGAAAAAAAAACATGACGTATTTTATGTTGTAAAACGTCATTTCGATTTGGAGACCGTTTATTTTCAGATTTGTTGTTTAATTTTATAGATATATTTTATACATTATTCTTTGATACATATTTAACACAATGTCGGATCGCAAGCGAATTGTAGATTCAATAATATTTGATTACAAAACAACAACGAACACCGATTATAGGGAACACGATTTCCAACCGGCGTTGGTGAAGACAGTGTATAGAGGTAAAACACGCGCTCCGAGGAGGAGTAAGCCCCTCTTAAAATATGTTCACACGATGTCCGATTGGAAATGCGCCATGCCTTTTGACGTAATGATCTCACGGAAGGAGATTCTTCGCACGAACCCGAATCAGATTCAGGCTGCTTATGTGAGTGAATCAACGTCATACCTCAACCAAATCAAACCAATTACCTTTTTCGTAGTAGATTTGGTTTTTCTTTATGTGAGAAAGTGGCGAACTAGCTGGCGGTTCACCTGATGTTAAGTGATGATCGGCAAACATTGACGCTTGCAAAACCCGTAGGGTTCTACACGCGTCTACACGTGTTGTCGCCTTTTAATAAAGCGGGCTCCGGCGACCACACTCGCCAGACGAAACGCAGAAGAATAACACTTCCACTCCAAACCAGGAAACGTCTAAAATGACGGTTAGTGACCACGTTTCTTGGATGTTGTCTTTAACGTTAGACTTTACAATTGCGCTTTTACTGCTGTTGAAACGCAATTGAAGTCTTTTTCAGGATCAAGTTTTCTGGAATGATTCCTATTTTCAACCGACGTCAAAAAAGAAGGAGGTTCTCAATTCGACTATTTTTTTTATATTTGTTACCTCAGGACTATCGACTGAGTGAATCATTTTGATGATTCTTTTTTTATTTGAAAGCTGGTGCTTCCCATGTGGTCCCATATTAATTTCATTGGTATTGGATCTTGGGCTCCGCAGATATTTAGGGAACTCCTGAAATCAATTATAAAATGAATACAGAGCGAGATATTTGGAGTCGGTTTTGTTTTTCGTTAAAAAAAATATTGACTTGTAGTTTAGAAGGTTAGCCATCGTCGTAACATTTAAATTAAACTATTTGTTTACACTTAAAATCATTCGGACAAAACGGCCATTCTAACACTGCATAATGCTTAAATTAAATAAATACAAGTATGTTTGACTTTAAGGAAAAACCTCCGGATTTGGAGAAAGAGAAAATTCGAAATACCCGACCGAAAATGGCAATCACTCCAGAAGTTAATATAGATAGCTTCGATGCCAAGTCAGTATCCTAAAATTTTAACTTAACTATATCTTAGAAGTAGCGAAGCTAGTTTTACATTGTACATGCTATTCGGTAATTGATTGCGTTAACTGCTTTTTTTCAATTTTAAATATTGTAAATAATAATAGTTACTAGAGAAGTATTTTTAAAACGTAGCCAACATATTATATTTTTAATTTACTAATTGATTTATCAAAATATTTATACACTCCAAATGATTATAAACTCCTATAATTTATTTTAATTATTTTAAATACAGTCCAACACTGTAGCATTTCTCTTACGATTTTTTAAGGAAATATATTTTCTTATACACCTTTCAGAACATACGCTCTAATAGTGGAGGACAAGTACACTACGCAAAAGATGAAAGAATTCGGCAACGGCTGCGAAACGTCAAATCTCAGGGCGCCATTAACTGGAAAATATGCTCCGAATGCGCCGGTGCTTCGTTTCTTTATAGATATTAACGTTTAGGTAGTTTTTATCTTATGTGAAGAGCGGTTAAGTGATGCCGCTCCTGGACGGATGACTCCATGGCGCAGTGGCCAAGGTATTGGCTTCGGCGTCGGGTGTCGCGGGTTCGATTTCCACACGGGACAACTATTTGTTGTTTCGCATCTGGGTGTTTGTCCGCGGGAAATTTATGTTTATAAAACGTCCTTACAACGCAGGATAATACAGATACTAATGATATACGAATTAATTATCATCATTATCAGCCGCAAGACGTCCCTTGTTGAACATGGGCCTGCCCACTGCCACTTCAACTCGCAAATCCGGAGAGCTATGTCGGTGACTCTGAATCTTCGGCGAATTTCCTCGTTCTGAATTTTGTCGCGCAAAGAAACTCCGAGCCTAGCTCCATTGCTCGTTGTGTGACTCTGAGCTTCTGCAAAAGGCCAGGCACGTCATCACTGGCAACACACACTGGTTATACACCCCCGTCTTCAGGCACTGCGCACACACATATCGCGTAGTTTCCCGAACGCTGCCCATGCGAGTTAAAACTAACAATTTTATTCTTATTCTATATTCTTATTTCAGCTGGCGTTGCCTAAGCTTTCGCCTCCTCCAGTGGCACGAGAGTGGCGAATGGAGAGCGCCTCTTGGGATCGTCGTCAGAGACGGGACTTTTGCGATGCCACAAAAGTCTTCTGGCTGAACAGGGCAAGAGAAAAAGACAGACATCAGCGAACGCTTTAAGATATGAGAGAGAGGCATGTGCCCATAGTGCAATGAAAATTTATAAAGTCGCCCAAAATTAAACCTTCATTTAACGGCTAACAGCCGTAAAAGGCTTAATAATAATAAAGCGAGCAAGGTGCAACATGTCGTTTATTGTCGCAGGCGTCAAATATTCATATAGTATAAGTGTCGCAAATGATTTAGATTTCTGCACGTTGTGTTGCAAGCTTATACGACCAAATCTATATACGACAAAAGAAAAAACTGAAAAAAAAAAAAGCTAAAACTTCCGTAGGTTTTTACGTCATAAATTTATGTTGTTATTGATTTTTAATTTTCCATAATTATTTTATATACTTTAAAAAAGTTAACGCGCCTGATATCTTGAGTAATTACTACTGTATAATTATATTACAAATGGTTATTCGAAAGGTTCTATAAAAGGCAACAAACAAAACGAATTTTATCTTTATTGTCAAACGAAATCTCCTTTAAGCAATGGAATATATTTATAACGATATAATTATTGCAACTGCCGATAACTTACGACAACAAACGAATTTATACAAACGGTAAAAGGCACTTATTCTATACAGCTCCCTTATAATTAAAAATTCAAATCCATGAGTGTCGGAATTAAACTTAAAATGTGTGAAATTACAAATACATTACTACAAAAACAGTAACAATAGCTGTCTGCTAATATGAAAAGACCTGCTTTGAATTTGTGCACAAAATTATGCAATAAAGGGTATGCAAATTAAGAGTTTTAAATAACAATAAACATATTTTGATAACAAATTACACAAAACGAAAAAGCTTCAAAATTTCTTTAGTAGCCCTTTTTATCATTTTTAAATTTATAATTGTTACATAGCAATATTTTAAACTTTAATTATTATTAATAAAAATATTTACTTAATTCTTTATAGAATGTTCCTTAGAAATCATTAAAGGTATTATATAGTACACATTTTGACACAATACGACAGTTTACACCTTAGCAATTCTTAAATCATAGACAAAATTTGTTGTTATATTTTTAATGATTGTAACATAAAAAATGTTAAATAGCGCAACAATTTAATGGCGAATGTCCTTAGCGCTAATACTTCTTTTTATAAATTGTCAACCCTTTTTTTAACAACAATAAAAATAGCATTAAAAAAACCGTGACCATGAATGCTAGAAAAAAATCGAAACGTCCGGAATTTACGTCTAAATTAAAGTCGACAACATTAGTAAAATCTGTTCATTTAATACTATAAATATTTTAGGGTGTGAGTTGGGCGAAAGTGTGAGTACAATTCACAGCCGTCATTAATTTTGGCGCGACCAATACATCTTTACTTATAACTCTTCTGTACATACGTATGTCACTGAACTCCAGCTCAACGGCTGGACCGATTTTAGTGAATTTTCTTGTGTGTTATTTTCTGTATATGTGTGTATTATTTTCTAGTGTGTCTTCAAGTAGATTCGAGAATGGTTTAGATTCATAATTCGGTCTATTACAATGTTTTTTTTTTTTAATTTTTTTTTTTTTTGTTTATTAGCTGTCGGATTAAAGTCGTCTGTACAGGACAAAGTCTGTGGTCCGCTAGTAGTTACTAAAACATGAGGCAGATCGAAGCATTTTTTAACAATAATTCATAAATATAGCAATGATTAATCTAAAATGTAGAATAATTAGTAATAAAGAGCTTTTAGCGAGATTGGCCTGGAAAACTTATAACCATATATCACAAAACTTCATTCATTTAAAAATATTTATTAGTAACATTTGGGTTTTATACTTCCTCACTACAATTTAATTTTTGATTTTCCTCATTTACTTTTACTTCCAAACTATTCGAGAATAAATATTTTTTGAATATTACAATAACAAATGAACAAATGTTTACAACAGTGTAATGTCATCATAATAAATTATTTGGCAAGGGACTAACATTTTGTTCTCCATTTCCATTTCAGTCTTCAATCTTAAACACGTCCCATTCAATAATTATTTGTTAGGTATTCTATAGTTCTGTAATCATCCAATAGGATAGGCACAATGCATAAAATACTAAAGCTTAAATGTACATATATAGCATCTTCCCTTAAACAAATGGTGCCAGTCAAGTAATAACAATTTTTTTTTCAAATCTTATTATCTAATTGACTAATAAAAAAAGTATATATTTCAATTTTTATCAACTTCAAAGCAGCATCTGTACCGAAATGCGGCCGCAAAAGCAAATTAATCACCAAGAGCTTTTTAATTGAGTAATTTTTTCCCCCCTTTTACGGTAACTTAATTACAATGGAATGTTTTCTCGCCAGAGTTGTCTCGTTCATAAATCACAGTGTCAATCAATTTTAATTCGGGTTTTATAGCTGATTGATTGGTCTGACATAATCATCATTATATTCGAATCATATAAAGATATACATTAGTAACGAGGAATTGACAATGATTGTGTTAATCGCACTAACAATTTTTAGAACAAAAACAAGTTGGACAAAGCTCAAACATAAATCCCATTTCATATGTGCCGTGTAAGCGATTCCACGATAACCTACAAACCACAATACGCGATCCTACCATTGTCATTGAAAATATACGACTTGACTATATTGTAAGGACCCAATGATATTTCGAGAAACGCACAGATCAATTTGTGAATTAAAAAGGGTCATCATACTTTTGTAATCGTCCATTAAGTAATTCTGGCGTGATATTCAATATCGGAGCGTTGACACTGTTTTCTTACTGCCCAGCTTTCCGAGAAAGGCGTTTAAAACGTCTCTGTTTCGAGGGGACCCGTGGCGATGTCATCCGCGGGGGCAGAAGTGTTGGCGGAATTGGGGGCATCGGCGTCACTGGGGGCGATGCCATTAGCGGGCGCGGGGGCGTCGTCGCGAGCGATGTCATTGACGGGCGTGATGCCATTAGCAGTCGGGGGGGCGTTGGCGGTCGAGGGGGCGTTGGCGGTTGTGGGGGCGTTGGCGGTTGTGGGGGCGTTGGCGGTCGCGAGGGCGTTGGAGGCGACTGGGGGCGCCCCTACATCGGCGCAGACGAGGCAGAGGTGCGCAAGCGCGAAGGCGGCCGCCTGGCGCACGGCGGGCGCGGGCTCCTTGAGCAGCTGGAGCAGCCTCGCCCTGGCGCCACTCGCCACCTCCTCGTCCAACTCGCCGTGCTCGGAGCCCTGCAGCCGCAGCCGGTGCAGCTCGGCGTACAGCATGCCTGCGAACGGGGGCGGGTACCTGCTTAGCGGACGGACTGGGTGCGAGAACACGTGTGGCAATTGAAGGCTTAGGTTCTTCTAGATAGCGGCGCAGAGAAATTTGAAAGGACATATTTAGCATACAAACAATTTTGAATATCTTGTTACAACGATAATTCGAACGAGAGATGTCGCATTGCTTTTTAGAAATTTAAACAATATATTATATATGACATATTTATTTAAATTTTTACGGTGTCAATCGCTACACTTCCAGTGAATCGTTAAAATTTGTTAAAAAAATGGAAGGAAAAGTTATCCGCCGCGGGAATCGGACCGACGTCTTTCGGATTCCCGCTCAGACACTTCAACCACTAAGCTGCTGAGAGTCTATCCAACGAAGATCGCAACGTATTTGTTTAATTTCTCAACATCGTATAAGCGGCTAGCCGACCGACCGAGCAGCAGCGGCGCGAGCGCGGCGTCCGGCATGTGGGCCCTGTGCGCGTGCAGGTAGTTGGCGGCGGGCGGCAGGCAGGCCGCCACCGCCGAGGGCCGCTCCTCCGCCAGCAGCCGCAGCAGCGCCGCCACGAACTCCTCCAGCAGCAGCCGGCCCTCGTCCACGAGGTGCTTCTGCACGAAGGCGCACGCCCGCGGCGCCTCCAGCGCCTTGAACACCTCGCGCAGCGTGAACTTGCTCGCCTGGGGATACCACAGTTCCAAATTCCTGCCTGCTCGTTCGGAGAAGCGATTGCCGCGACTTCGCCGAAGATCGGCGTGAAGTGGACGCGTGAGAGGCGTGAATGCGTGGAGGCATCTCTACGCAGAGCCAAAGGATCAAGCCGATCGGAAAGATTTTGTTCGTCGATAACCCCAGCTGCTACGTTGGATGCGGTCAAATGGAAGAAGCTGGTAATAGGGGGCTCCCACCCATAGGTGAGAACAGTACTCCATGTGGGGCCGAATTTGCGCCTTATAAAGGTTTAGGCGTTGAGCCAACGTGACCATGAACCGACCTTATATAAAGCGGGCCGTCGTTTACCACCCCTGACTCGTTTCAGGCGTAATCGGCGATTGACATGAACGAAAGTATAAGAAGGGAGGGAGCCTCGCACCGACCCTCACTACGGCGGGGCTGGGGTCGCAGAGGTGCAGCAGGAAGCAGGGCAGCGAGGAGACGGCCTGCGCCACCAGCGCCTCGCAGCGCACGCGCCCCGCCACCAGCCCCAGCAGCCGCAGCGAGCCCTCGCGCAGGTGCGCGCACTGCGTGTTCATGAAGGGCCGCACCTAAGGGCGCCGAGTGCTTTCAGAACAAGTGGAATATAGTTTAAGAAACTTAAAGACCCGACTGCGTGTCTATGTAATTTTTTAACAACACCTCTCAAGCTAAAATCCATCGAGCCGTTCAGGCAGCGGAGCGCGCCATACAATTATACATGCACTCGAAAAACATAATTATAATGTACCGCATTTTTCAAATAGGGAAAACCAAAGTATTTCGAAGAAAAAAAAAAGTATTTTTCGAAAATTTTGTATACTTATTATTCATTTCTTCTCTTGTAGATTCATTTCTGTGCGCTTCTAGCACACTGACAGTTTCATTATCCTTAAAAGAGTATTTAAGGATAATAAAAAACTGTCCAGAAATAGAGTATTTTCACATACTCCATTTTCATGCAAAAGTACAAAATATATTTATCAAAAAGAATGTATGATATGTTATTATAGAGTATGGTTGGCACCCCATCTAGTGGGAGGCCGTCCTGCACTGCGATGGCCAGGACGAGGCTGCCGCTCAAGAACCTTTCTTCCCACTAGATGGAGTAGGAAGAAAGATGCGGGAAGTCAATGGATACAGGTGGCTCAGGATGTGCTTCTTGGCAGTCTATGGGTTCGATCCCCACTACTGGAAAAACTATTGTGTAATGAACATAGTGTTTTTCTAATGTCTGGGTGTCTATATATGTATTTATTAACAAAAGCAAAGTATGTTTACCAGTTATCTAGTACCCATAGTACAAGCGCTGTTAGTTTGGGACTAGAGAGCGTTGTCTTAAAATGTGCCCTTAAATATTTATCTAATATATAAAATTCTCGTGTGACGGTTTGTAATTGAACTACTCCGAAACGGCTCGAACGATTTTCGTGCAATTTTGTGTGCATATCGGCCAGGGTGGAGAATCGGACAACATCTATTTCTTGTCCCCCTAAATGGTAAGGGTGGTCCTCCCCAAATATTTTTTTCTACCCTAAAAATAATTTATATGGCAAAACAACGTTTGTCGGGTCAGCTAGTTTGATTATAAAACAGGCTGAAATGAAGTTAATGACGTTTGGCAACCCCAGCCGCACCTTCTGCGCGATGGAGAGCAGCTCGCGCTCGAAGCCGCGCCCCAGGCCCTCCCACTCGGCCAGCAGGCGGCTCAGGCCCTGGATCGCAGCCAGGGGCACGTTCTCCATCGGCGAACTGCGCAATTTCAACGTTCTCTTTATATGGTTTTATTTTAAATTACCTTTTTATTAAAGGAATATCAATTTATTTTTTTATTTGGAAAACGACAGCAAATAACGAAACGTATGCGCATACGTGGCCTTCCGTCCATCGACGCCCTAGCTGAGGGCGAAAAGCGTGACTAAGGGCAAAGTATCTGAATGCGCTCACGCGGCCGTCTCGCCGTCGACGCCCTGGCTGAGCGCCTGCAGCGCGGCGGGCAGCGCGGCGTCCCTGGCGGCGGGCGCCAGCCGCGCCACGTTGGCGGCGCCGCGCAGGCAGGCGGCGCGCACGCGCGGGTGCTCGTCCGTCCAGCCGGTGCTCAGCGTCGCCAGGATCGTCTCCGTCACCACCGCGTTGCCGTTGCACCTGTTGTGCCGGGATATGTCACGATTTACGCCGTTGACGCACTCAAGTTCCCCGTTAGGAATTGGCTCTCGACGCGGTGTTCGTTTCGTTTTCATTTTTGCATCCGTCATCTGTATCAAGGTGTTATTTTCTTTCCTAGCCTCAAGCTAGGCTTATCGGAATATTTTGATATGAATTTGTTCGAATATATCACATGTTACAGAATAATTGTTACTTAGAAAGAATTTTTTTTACTATTATTACAACTATTATACGATTTTGTAAAATCACCGTACTCCATTCGAAAATGCGCTGAAAATCAGTTTCAAAACCAAATAAACGTCAAAACTGTCATCAAATAAAACGAAACGCCAAGCCACTCGGTTATTCCACATGCCAGGCTCAATTGGTAAAAAGAATAGGCGTACTCGTTGACTTTCTTGCACCTACCCTACGAACGCTGTATACGACAGGCGATAGATTTGGACCGCTAAGCGTAAAGCGCTTCGCTCACCGGTAGTGCAGCAGGTCGGCGAGCAGCGAGACGGCGGCGCAGCGCTGCGGCGGCAGCGGCGCGCGCGCGTACTGCGCGAGGCGGGCCGCTGCGGCGGGCAGACGCGCCGCTTGAGAGCGGCTAGCGCGCCCGCCAGCAGCGCTGCCAGCTCGGCTAGCGTGGCCCCGCTCTCACCGTGCTCCACGCTTAGGCACAGCGAGCACGCGTCTCTTACCTGCATCCCACTCAGACTGGACTAGGCTCGGTTTGAAACACCGCTTCAACCCATCCATATTATATACGATGACCCAATTGACGTAGTGGGCAGTGAACCTGCCTCTTCCGCCAGAGAGCGTGGGTTCGATCCTCACTACTGGAAAAATATTGTGTGAAGAACACAGTGTTTTTCTGGTGCCTAGGTGTTATATGTTTAATATGTATTTAATTACAAAAGAAAAGTATGTCTAAGTATACAATATTTGTACAGTACCCTGCAAGCGTTGCTTAGTTTGGGACTAGACAATGTTGTTTAAAACTGTGTCCTAAAAATGTATAAAATATATAAATATATACAAATATGAGGTAGATATGACATTAGCGCACCGAAACTATTGCGCCAATCGCAATTCTATAGACTCCTATCTCTCCGTATCATACGTTCTATATCATCTGTCTCATTTCCTTACATACGTCATATAATGTAAAACGGAACAATTTTTAAACACCGCGCAATATGCGTCACCTATATTATTAAACATCGTTGGCTTCCACCCAACGGTGTGCACAGAGATTTCAGACTGAGCATGCACTTAAAAACTCACGAATTTCTCTTTCTCTAAGTGTTTGATGATTTTGATTCATTATAAATGGGTGGGATACCTACACGCGATGCGGCAACACCCTATTGCGCCGCAGTCAATCCCTTTTTACTGATGCATAATTGCGACGAAATTTTATTAGATGTATATAACTAGATGCTCTAAGTATTCGTTGCATCAATGTAATATTGATCTTAGCATTAAAATTGACAAGAACTACAAATAATACGACATTATTAACATACAGATTACATGGCGAAAATGCAATAGATAACACATTTGAAAATTGCCCTTTGGCGGCAGTAATTCACATTAGGTTTACCACATGCTTACTTGCAATCATCTTTATACAAGTATAAAACTGAAGAAGCATAAGCGAGGAAATCCCCGACTACCCATATGGACGCCAAGCATGATGACCAAACTTTGTTTACATAAACATATAGCAAGAGTTCACAGTGTACAAATGCAATCTTGCTCTCTGTCTATTCCCGACGAGGTAAATTACCCATCACTGTAACACAGAAGTCGTCTAAGATTTTAAGGCCCATTTTTTAATTGAAAGACATCGCCCTTACTGTATGTTTACGAACATAAATGTCACGTGTACAAACACCCAGAATCCGAACAATCATCTGTGGGTCACATCCTTCGGCGCCGAAGCCAATACCACGGTAACTGCTCAAAAGCCTCATCTCTTACCCCACAAAACCACTACCTGTGCCATAAAAAATTCTACACTGACCTCTTGACAGTCGGCCCGCTCGAGGAAAACACTGAAGGTGTTCATGGTGATCTTGGCCGGCGAGAGCTTTATCGCCTCCCTGTTCGGTATGAAGCCGAGCCTCTCCTGCCCCTGGTGGACGGAACGGTGTACGCTGGCGCCGCCGCCTCCAAGTAGCACGCCAGGGTCGTGTACAGCACCGAGAACATTTCCGGGAACTTCTTCGCGCAGATGGCCTTCATTGCGTCTTCTTGCAGCATTTCGCCCAGCGCGCTGATGAGCTGGCACCCCGAATTGTATACTTAAGGTACACCGACGGTATGTACGCGCGTTTAAATACCACCACCGTAATGCATAACTTGGTGTTCGTACAATATACCATTATTTAGCTTACATTTTCTATTGTAGTATTGCATGAATTATAAATAAATGAAACATACTGGACCATGGGTTGAGACGACAGTTGGCAATTTTATGTCGCTGGTGAATTTTAATTGTCTATTTTAGTGGTCTATTTCGTCGGTTTATTTAATATTAAACTCTCAAGTCTTAAGTTCAGTCTCGTGTTGACTATTTGATCCAGCTGCTTTTAATTGATAACGTGTTAAGTAAACTTAATAACATTGTTCAAAAGTAAGAACTAGGTTTAAAAAAAATTATAAGGACTAAACTTTAAAGCACCAAGTCTAATTTATCTCCAGCGCAAAGTACAAAGGGACAGGTTTAAAATTTACGTGCTAGACTTACCGTCAGCGGCTGTAGGGCGGCGATATGGTTTTCGGTGATGTGGTAGGGATCCTCGTACAATTCTATAGAGGTCATCAATCTGAGGAAGTTTTCTATGATCGCCTCCGATAGGCCTTTGCCCCGCGCCAATGAACGCCAGCAGGACACCACGCATCTGGATTTACATAGAAGTAAAAACCACTTTATAGCACTCCTTTGCTTCCGCCATTTGCGCAATCTTGACAAGGTTTCGATCTCATTTAAGGACGTAAGATGTGGGTTTAAGACCAATACTTAAATTGAATATCATAGAAACGGGTATATTGAGATATTTAAAGTTAATGTCCGAGCAAATTAAAAAGTAAAATTTTTTTTTAATCCAAGTAGGTGACAAACGGGCAATTATCGCCGCTCATACGTTTTCCTAACACTAGTAGTTGCAGTTACGTTTTCATTCTTCAAAACGTTCGGCCCTGGTTATCTCACTCGAGAGACAATTATTTTTTAATGTGAGAAGGTGGCAATCGAGCTGGCGGTTCATCTGGTATTAAGTGATAACCGCCGTCCATGGAAATTTGCAACACCCGTAGAGTTGCAGATGTCGTCTTGTCACTTTTTAATGAAGATTTACCTCACTCATCTTACGAAACGCAGAAGTATAACACTTCCACTTCACACCGGTCCCCTATGAGGGCGTGGTAGTAACACGGACGGACCTGCCTATTCTTGCAACAGCGAAGACTGTTGCGTCCAGTTTCAAAAGTTCAAATACTCCGAATGTACTCGCCCATTGCTACAAAAGCTGCAGAGTGGCCCTACCACACCCATGTATAAGAAGTGCTTTATGAACTCCACGATCTCCAACAATAAACACTTACGGTTTTAACGGTAACTTCTGGGCCAAGAGGACCGCGGTTACGGCGTTCGAGTGGCACTTGGTCAGCGAGGTGAGTGGCAGCATCAGGCTGGAGCGCGCGTCGTCTTCGACTCGGTCCATTGTGTCGATCATCACCTCCATTATCCTCTCGATGTTCTGGTACAGCTCTTGGCCCTTCTTCGCGAAGAAACGCTCGAGCACCGCGCTGATGCCGATACACCTGAACTCTTGGGAGTCGTAGCCCTCCAGCAGGCTTTCGATGAACTGCATCGTGTGGTGGTGGGGGATTTTCGGCGCCACGGTGTCGCACAGCTCCAGGCAATACTCGTATATCATGCTCGGGTCGTTGGTCAGTATGTTGTTCTGCAGGTGAGCGAGACTGGCCATGCACGCGTCGTTCTCTTCGATTATGTGACCCTCGTAGAGGTCCTGCGTCTGTAGGATCAGCTTTATGCAGTCGACCGTCGTCAGTCTCACCGGGAAGTTGGTGTCCATAACGCCCGGCACCAACAGTCCAAGCAGGTAGCCCATCTGGCCAAACTTACTGGGCGTTTCGTAGTTCAGCTTTACGTTCTTGATGTACGAATCGAATACCACTTGCATGATCAGCGCCGACGCTGTCCGTATCTCGTCGTTTTCGTGTCGCAACCACTCTAACAGTAGGCCGACTAAATCGTCTATAGTGCTCAGACACGTCGATTGAATTATAAGCTCCCTGATCAGTTGGTGGAGCAACGTCAACGAGTCATTCAGGGTCTTCGCCAGCATGTCGTTCTTGTCGCCGTTCCCTTCCACTTCGTATTTGCTTTTGAAGGAGGACAGCTCGCCGAAGATGCTGTTGAACAGCAATCGGAGTATCGTGTTCCTTTCCTCCGGCAATATGCCCTTTTGCAGCTTCGTCAGCGCTTTGGAGGCTTTCACTATTATCGGGTACAGCTCCACGTTGCGGCCCGCCAGGTTTGGGTTGTTGATCTGCGACAGTACCGCGTTCAAGAGCTGCCAGCGGTTCCGCAGCGTCACGTTATGGTGCGACGCGGGCTGGAGCGCTTTGCCGATCTCGTAGAGGGTTGTGACGCTCGCCTTGCACAATTCGAAGTGCGGGTTGGACCTTAAGGTTTCGTGCAATATCGTTGTGACGTTCTCGCCGAGACGCGCCAACACGTGCACGTCTAGGCACTCGTTAGCGATCTTACCGTAGGACGAGATCGCGGCGTATTTCACCGCAGCGATATCCGCTTCGTTTTTGGAGTTCTTTGGGGTTAGGAAGTTGAAGATCTTCCCGCCCCTCCTAGCCTCGTTCTCTTTGTATATCGTGTCGAGTTCGTTGAGAACCACCTCGCCGTGTTGCCTGGAAGCGATGCCTATCGCCTTGCTGACGTAAGCGCAGCTCGCCATCGGTATAGATTTCAAAGCGAACAGGATGATCGTCAGGTTCTTCTCCACGAGTGCGGCGTTGGTCATGTGGCATGACAATACGGCTAGGTACTGCAACGATATCCCTCTCACCGTCAGCGGGTGATCCTTTAGCATGACTTGATGAGACAAGTGGGTCGCGATTGTCTCCACCCACTTATCATTGTTCACCTGCTCTATCGCAGAAACCAATAGGTCCAACAACATCTCGTGCCACTGCTCGTCAGATTCATTTTTTTCGACAAACTTCAACAGTCTCTGAATTTCCACCGCCCAAGAGTTCTTCAAGTTCTTGTGTACCTCGTCAGAGTACTCCTCTAAGAAAACCAACAGGTTTTTATTTTTCTCCGCTTCGTTCGGATCCGCGATGTACATCAGGCATCTGACGAAAACCAAGTCTGGACAGCATTTATCCTCGATCTCTTTGTCAGTCTGCTCGTCCATGATTACGTCAGAGCTGTTTTGCAGCAGCGAGGTCAAACAGTGGCTCACCGTGGCCATAGATGCTGTATATTTTTCTTCAGTCAACGTTCTAAGTAACAAATATCTCAATCGCGTCCTAACGCTTGTGACTGTATTGCACATTAGTGCCAATGAGCTTTTGCAAGTGTCTTGCAGTTCAACTATTTCGCTGTGGGCAACGTTAGCCGCACCTTTGTAACCGCAGTGCTTGATTATAAACTCGATCATGAGGAAATCCTCGGCGGTCGTGATACTATTTCTGTACACCAAGCCCACTATCGCTTTAACGAGTAGCTTCTTCATCTTCACCGCCTGCTCCATATTGATCATCACGTTCAGAATTGCGATAAATTTCGTTGCGAAACTGTCAATAAAAACTTGCGATGACGTCGTCAAATGCGTCAGAACTATAACCGCCTTCATTCTATCCTTCTCGTGGTTGTTTTTGCACTGGAGTAGGAGACCCTCGATAGTCTGGTCGGGGAACTGTCCAGCCATGTGGTCAAAACACCTGAGCACTTCGAAGTGATTCTTAACCGTGTGCGGCTGGTCGTAGTCCGGCTCTACAAGGACCAAGTTGAACATGGAGTGGTTTATGGTATTTATGACGTTTTCGTTCAAATTCAACTTGGGATTCAATGACGAGGGCGAAAGGAGATACGAAATACATTGCGTTATATAGTAATGGTTCAACGCCGTTTTCCGATACAGCAACAGCAGTGAAAGCACAAATTTATTAACAGTTTCATTAAACTGCCTCTCCGATATCAGTCTTGTTATTGGCCCGAGTGCTTCTAATATCGACTCCGTTACTTTGGGCTCGTGGGATATGAGCCACTGGTTGTACAGCACGTCGAATATTATGGAGAATTCCGTAACAAAATTCTCTTTGATCGATGTTATGTTCTCATTGTCGACGCTGTCGCCTATTTGTTCGGCGATAGCGACTGCGAAATGCCCGAACGCTGTGAAAAAATGTTATTACTTTTATGCAAAATGTCCGTTATTACAAAAGTAAACTTTTATTTTATTCATTTGTAGTTTGACTGCTTGACGTTTATTTTTTAAAAATAAAAAAATCAGTCGAATTATAAATGACGTGTTGTATAACAACAATCATGCACGTGGAGCTGTAACCATATTCATCATGAAAATCCATATTGAAGAATACAAAAAAATTACCTAAGCAAAATTTCAATAGGCATACCATAAAATACAAACAGTTTAATAATAGCATACCATAAGCGAAGGCCTGCTTAATTCCATCCTGTTTTACAATGGTTAGCAAGGGAAGCATTTTGCCCAGAATCTCCTTAATATGCGGCACCACGCCATGTGTGTTCACAGCAGCGAGGGTGCCCAGCGTGTGAACAATAGTGTAGTGCGGTATCGAAGCTGGGTACAGCTGATTAATGAGCAACCTAAGGACCTAGAATAATAATTTAGAAATTTAAATATAACAAATTTTTTACATATAACATTTACAAATTTCGAAGATTTTTAACGATTCCGGAATACTTAACATAACATCTTGTTTTATCCTTACTCATCTAGACAGAGGACGAATGCCTAGTATGTATTCAGACCTAGATACTACTGTTAGTAAGAAAAATATAAATTCTCTCTAGTTCTGTTACATTTTGGTTGAAGTTTCAATTGCTCATTAAATTATTTTCTTCATATTTTCTAGACTACAACAAAATATTTCAAGGATTGGCCGAATACCAAACATCTAGGTAATATTTTAGCTGAATAGGAACAAAGTAGCTGAACTAGCCGAATTCTAAATAATAGCCAAATAATGCTGAAAATCTAATGGTTACACTATACAGTTGCTTAACAACATAGTTTGTAGATTGGGATTTTTCGTACAATACAATATTACAAATGTACAAAATACTTCTAAATAAAACAATGATGAAGACCTATTTATAATGATGCCATTATACATAGGTCTTCATCATTGTCACCAATTTCATATATCATATATACCCCATTAGGAACATTTTAATGGTTGATGGGAAATCTCATTATTCCAAAAAAATTAAAAAATCTTCAATTATAAGTTAATTATATATTTTCATTTATATAATATTCACTTTATAAAAGAAGACGATCCTTAATAAAAGAATAGTGAATAATGTAATTAAAAATTGTACAAAACAGCTCATGGTGTAATTGTACAAAACAGTACAATGCAAATATTATTGGGCAATTGCTTTATAAATGGTCTGGCTAGATAATAAAATCATCTGTTTACAAGGTACATAGGCAGACAGGCAACTTATTTACATTTATGTATGACTCACAACAGAGTATTCTAGAACAGAGAATAACAAATTTATCACAACATGAATGTGATATCTTTGCAGCTGGGTACATAGGCCACATGCTAAAATAGGATGAATGGGCTATATTTAATGAACTTGACATCATTACAGATTAAAAAAGTAGTATGTCTGAGATTGTTATATGTTGAGTGATACAATTACTTGAAATTTGCTATGACTAAGTTAAAAATGGGCATTATGTATAAAAATGACTTTGATTTAAATAAAAGTTTTAAATAAATTTTAGTTAATCATCCCAATGTACAAGTTTTTCTGTTCAGTAATGAAATATACTAACTTCTTGTCATAATATTGAACTTTTGTGCAGTGAAAATGTGCAAACAATTTTATAATAAGAAGTTTTAATAGAACATCATAAATTATTTTTTTTATTTATTAATTAAATAACATATAATTAAATTATTAAAAATTAAATCTTTAAAGTTTAATATTTATCATAAGTTTAAAAAAAAAAAGCATGTGTTCTAATTTTTGCGTATACATGATGTTTATGGGTTTAAAATCAATTATGGTTTGCTTATGTAGTACTGGAAATATCTGTGACACTTAAAAGAATCAGTGGAGTATTAGTAATAAGTCAATTAAGTTTTTTAATGCCAGTTAACACTAAAAACATAACATAAAATTAAAGTATGTGATGTTCACAATCAATCTTACTGTGATGCATAAAATAAAACACAATGTATGTATCTATATGGGTAATTACTGAACTATTATCAATACTTCAAGTTGAAACAGAACCCTTTCAACTTAGAAGCTTTGGCTGTTAATTATGTTATTTTTTCTTATTTTTTATTTTATGCGAAAAGTTGTCAAACGAGCAGACGGTTCACCTGATGTTAAGTGAATACCGCCGCCCTTGGACATCTGCCCCACCCGAGGGTTACAGATGCGTTGACAACCTTTTGAAAATTGGGCTCCGGCTACCTCACTCACCAGACGAAATGCGAAAGTATTTGTCATACTTCCCTTTACGCTGGTCTTCTATGAGGTCGTGGTACTTACCCGGACGAGCCTGCCCATTCGTACAACAGCCGAGGCTGCTGCGTGGCCCTACCACCGTGAATGTGTTGTATAATATCATATGGTTTAACAAACAATTTTTATCCCATGAAAATATTATCAATTTTTTTTTCTTATATGATGATTGTCATTTGATTTATTAAAAATTGTATTATATTTTATTATTTTTATATATGTAAAGATGGTTTCCAAAATTTAAGTATAGTGAAAAATTCCGAGTGTGTGCTAGAAAGCATACAAAATATATCTTCAAGGGGAGAAATAAATAAAATTTGAATATACTTTATTTTCATACTTTATACTTTACTAGCAACCCGCCTCGGTTTCGTAAGTGTGCAATGTATTATACATTTAACCTTCCTCTTGAATCACTCTATCTAGTAAAAAAACGCATCAAGATTGGTTGAGTAGTTTTAAAGATCTAAGCATACATAGGAACAAACAAACAGCGGGAAGATTTTGTTTTATACTATGTAGTGATATTTTCTTTACTTGTAAAATATGATACTTTATTTTTCTCAAAAATAGTTGGCAACCCTATTGACACTACACAACTGATATGCCACATACAAAACCTCTTTGATTGGCTTGTGAAAGGGAACTCGACTATTATACATGAACAGGAAAAGCTCTATTAACCAATATGGTATTCTTTCCTCCAGGGTGGTTTTACAAAATATAATATAAGCTTGGTAATCAACATAATTAAAAAAAAAATTTCTACAGTACTTACTAGATCTAAATATTCATGACTCACAGCAACCAGGACTGAAGAGGCTCCCATTTGTACAGAGGGGTCATAAGCTGTATTTTCTGTCATTGCACGAAGCATAGCATTTGCTAGTTCTGATGCTGTCTGTGACTTTAATTTTTTCACTTGATTCACGCATGTTTGCTCTAAAACCCTGTGGATTGAATGTTAAAGAAAAAATTTGTTAAATATTCGGAGAGTAATGAACAATAAAGCATTAAAATTTGTAGAAAAAGCAGTTTGATCCTGTTGATGTATACAAAATAACAATGTGTTAATAAACTTACATGAATCTTTGTTCTTCCGCAAGACTATAATTATAGTAAAGTATGTTTTAATAACAATGCACATGAAATATTAATAGAATTAAGGCACATCAGTCCTAAGAAACTGTTAATAGATAAATGGTAAGCGTTTGTGTATTCATAGGTGCAGATGAAGTTATTTAAAGACTTTTAAGAATTCAAATAGCTTTGAAAAAAATATAGATAAAAATGTTAGTATAAATACCAAATTACTCACTTGATTGTATTACTTAACTGCGTACCGTTCACTTTGATGGCATTTTTATAAAAATCGCAGAATATTTCAATTACTTCATTCGGATATATGTTTGCTATCTTCAATAGAGATTTTATAATTACATTGTTGACTGAATTGTCATTATCTCCTATTGCGTTTATTAAAACAATAACAGTGTCTAGAAAAGAAAATTATGGTTACAAATAATTAAGTTTATACGATACATTGGATTTTAGCACGTTTTCATTTCGCTAATATACCCTAAATCATAAATTTACCTCTTAAACACTCTGTTTTAGTCGACGTCATGTTATTGGTGTTACGTATATATTAATAACACAAAAAGTTTTATGTTCATACTACCCTTTGAACTGAGTATATTTCTAGCCGTTTCAACAAAACTGATACTACTGATAGTGTAAGTGTATTATTATTTTTGATAACGGGCAACTGCTTGTACAATCGCATAACAAGCACAGACAGAATATACATACACCAACAAGAGTGAAGGAAGAGTATGAAAACGAATACGAGTGAAATTGAAATTGAGAAAGTGACAGATAAGCAGTGTTACCAATGCCAACTACTAAAAAAATTACCCTAAAATCTAGAAGAAATGAAATGAATAACCCTAAATACACTTTTCAAAAACCCTCATAAAAACCCTGTGTGTGAAAATTTTGTTTAAATGAGTTTCGCCTTTTGTTAGGGTAAATAAAATATAATTAACCTTATTACATATGGTTTAAATAATTAACAAAATAAACATATTAACTAACACATTAATAGACATTTTGCTTTTTAGAGTTTCGTACCCAAAAGGCAAAACGGTACCCTATTACAATAAAATAATGAAAAGACTGGAAAAGGATATAAATTTTCTACATATTTTAAGGATATAAATAATTAAAATATGAAAGCGCAATCTTTAAAAATAAGCGGTTTAGCGGGCAGCTTCAAAGGTATGACTTTTGTGTTACAGTGATGAGCGCGCATCTTAAAATTTCACTCTCATCATTTTTTCTTAACGCGCCTAAAAAAGTATAACTTCAAAAATATTTAAGTGGGGCTCACATATAGCAGACATGACTTTTTTCCGTTGTTATATATAAAGGTACGGAAACCTTCGTGCGCAAGTCTGACTCACACTTAATTTTTTTTTTACTCATTTTGGTATAAATATCAAAATATTATTCATGCCCCTGTTAAATGATCTAAACTTTTTTGGACCATAAAAAAGCGCAATATGCATATTTCCTTCCTAAATTTGAGGCTAAAAGCCCTAAGTTGGCAAGCTCGAGGCAGACTGGCAAATTGTCTATTGATTTAGTGTTACCCTTTGTGTTTTATTTTTCTGGGAAGTATTGCCAGATCTTTAAGTGTATATAGAGATTTTTGAATATTATTTATTAGTGTGCTTCGTTATCAGCGTGGTAGCTTTGACAGCTTGGTTGGAGTTGGAAGGCTAATAGATGACCCTTTAGAAGAGAATAACGAAACTAGTGCACTACGATGACACAATGATGTAGTCACCTCTACTGAAACTCCGCGACACCTGTTACTGTTCCTAGATTATCGGTAATTAAGAATTTCATTATAAATAAAAAAAATCCCTTCCAAAGGCACTAACAGCAAACTACACTACATAAATATAAATTAATACATTCCTAAATTGTAACTATTTGAATTAATAAAGTTTAAGTAGCAGGGGAATGAAAACTGGCTACCGAATGTAATAAAAATATAATTATTAAAGCAAACATTGTTTTGTAATATTGAAATAAAAGTTTGCTTTAATCATTTAAAATATTGTTCGATATTTAATGAGAAAGAGACCATTGACATCATCATATAAATACCTTTTTTTTCTATACTCCTATAAGAAATCAATAGAATTATTAATCTTACGATAATCAGTGATTGTATTAATCCATTGACTAACTTATGCCTTGTTTTTGTACTCAAACTTGAAAAGTTTGAGTGAAAAGCTTTCCTATCTGAATTTAATCAGATTTTTTACCGTCCTAACATGTTAAAAACTGTCTGCAGTCTCAACAAATATTCTAGTAAGGAAATTAGTAGTAATTATTTTTTCTTAGCATATACATATTTATTATTTTAATAGCATTCATTTATATATTATTTCCTATTTTTTAATAAAACTCAAAATAAAAGCCATATCTTTTATAAGTTATATAATAATTTTCGAATTGATTTGCTGTCTAAAAATTATGAGTCTTCAATTTAAATAAGTAATAGTTAATTAAAAAAAAAACTTAATGGTTATTGATAGTCTATGCTCCAAACCAAACCACCACACGAAGGCAAACTAGGAACGGTGTACATATCTATATTAAGTATATTATTTCACGTTCATGCAAATCGCGGATAATGCAGACGTGCCGCTCCCTTCACCCAGTTAATTTTAACCACTGAAACTATAATTTTAAACTGCACCAATATACTCACTACATGAAAAAGAATATCTGTATAGAATCCATAAACGACTTTCACCGGAAATATCAATAATTTGATTAGACGAAACAGGGGTTGTGGAATCATCCCGCATATCAGTGATTGATCTCACAATGTATCCGTGTGCATGGTCAGTTACGGATATAGCTGTGTGATGTACAGTGTGGCTCAGTTAAGTGACAAAGCAGAAGCGTCGGCTCCCACTCGAAACTATTATCCCATTCGTGATTACGTTGGACCGGGAACTAGCCACTTGGTTTAGTTGCCGCAGGGACACTAAAGCGGTAAATACGGAGTCGCAAATACTGCTTCGCATCATTTATCGCCAAGATTTCGGTGAGTACACGCTCTAGATTTAGGTTCATGTTTTACGTTTCAGAAAACGGGTGTCGCTCGCCCGTTTCTGACATTGAAGGGTATCCGATCAGCTGCCATGTATTCTTAAAATAGATAATATCGAGCCCCTTCTGGCAGCGGTAACAATCAGCTGATCGCGAGAATATTTTATTTATCTGCTATTCAGCCAGCATTCACCTAGGGGTCTAGTCTAGTCTAGTTGAAGGAACCGCTTGATTATAAAACAGATAAACATTATCAAAAGATAATATTCTGATGTATATATAATTAACAGTCTTGACATACTTTTCAGTGGTTGTATTATTTTCGTGTTTTGCAGATCTAAAAATGGTGCAGCAAGATTTGACTTAGGTGCATTGAACAAAGACATACAAAGGGGGTGATGGTCAGGAATGGCTCAGGGAGGCTCATTGGTTTGAGTTCCAAGTGAGCTGAGAACATTCAGTGCGTCTTGTGCAGTGTTGTGCAGTGTCTAGTCATAGTGAGTGAGTGAGTGTTGTCTGAACCGGAATGCCCTCCGCAATGTTGTCGGCTGTGCTTGAAGAGGAGCCAGATCTGTACGAGGCATTCCCTCCACATGTGGATCCCACTGGTATTACAATCCTGACCGAAAGCCCACCAGGTAAAAATTAGTTTCTTCCTAGATTTTTTTACAAATTTGAAATTACTTTGTTTTTATTCTTAAAATCTATCTTTTACAACATACTTAAGATCAAGCACTTATACTGAACAAACTGATTACTGCAATGAGTATCTTATCAGTTTATACAATCAAAGATAGTTTGATTCAAAATGTAGAGAACATCTTATCTCTTCCTTAATTATCAGAACAACTAATTACAATATTTTGCTTCACTTTCTAAATGGCTTTGTTGTTCCTGCTTGAAAGGCACAATAAACATTTAGTCTACTATGTCAATTAACTTGTTTTTAATTTAAACTTATGCTCTAATCATCTGCATATTTAAAGTTTCAAAAGACTTTAAGGTCAAAAGGTCATAATAAAATACATTTGATTACTGTTTCATGAGTTAAATGAACATGAAAATTATCTGAAAAAAATGCTTTTTTTACTATTGCAATATCCAAGGCTTCTTACCATATTTAACATGTTTATTTAATTTCATCAGTTTTAAATTATAATTTAAAATAAAATGTATATATTTAATGTTTTTATAACATTTCATTTATTTATCAGCCACTAAAAATGAATTGTATAGATTTAGATTTTTGACAATTAATTTTATTATCTATACCTTAATGGTTATTTTTCTACTAAATTGTTTTGGTGGGGGTTGAGAGTATTTGAGTGTGCGCATGAGAAGGAAAATATGTTGCTCCATGAAAACTTTGCTTTATGTGCATGAAGTCGCATTTTTTCCAGCCATATCCTAAAATTGTCGCCTATGAAAAATTTATTCGCATATTATATTGTAAAAATCTATTTCACGATGCTTTTGACGCCGGCACGTAATGCTATTTAAATTATTTCCACGACCACCTCTAAATCTAGGCTCGATACGTCTTGTGACTGTCGTCACGTATGTGTCTTTAACATGGCGGCACAAATAATTTCATAGGTCCACAGTGAATTTTCCCTGTACAGAGAATTCGGCAATCTTTTCAAGTTTTTAAAATCTCTGTTTGTAATAAGAAACATCAAATCTTCTGTTTTGTGTTGTACGCGACCCACGACGACAATAACGCGCAAGTTACAATTATTTTCTTCGATTGTAGGGCCACGCAGCAGCCTCGGCTGTTGCACGAATTGGCAGGCCCGTCCGATTAGGTACCACGACAGGAGACTAGCGTAAAGTGGAAGTATGACAAATACTTTCGCGTTTCGTCTGGTGAGTTAGGTAGCCGGAGCCTAATTTCCAAAAGGTTTTCAACGCATCTGCAACCCTCGGGTGTGGCAGATATCCATTGGCGTCGGTATTCACTTAACATCAGGTGAACCGTCTGCTCGTTTGACAACTTTTCGCATAAAAAAAAAAACTAAACAGAAACAAATTTTCCGACATATCGTTGACAGCTTTTCTGCACCGACTTGTTAAGAGATACTACACTAAACTACCTAAGTAAAGACTTTTACAGTGAATGCGATTGTTTTGTTTAATCGCATAACTTAGAAGCCAAAAAAAAATTGATACGGAGTAGAGAGAGATTATTCACAAATACATTTTAGTTATTACTAGCTGTCATGTATTTGTTGTGTAGCAATAATTTCGTTTGTTGCATAACGAAAGATGATCTATGAGATTCTTGCGGCATCTAAAATGAGTCAGTCTCATGTTTTATTAATGGTCGCTTCGAACCCGTGAAACATTTGAAAAACATTGTGAAATGTTCACAAATAGGTAAAAGTGCTTACCAAGTACGTCCGTTAAAGATTAAAAGTAATAAAGCAATCGTTAATTTGGGCTCTTTTCATTTGGCATCGAAATAACATATAGCTGCAGATATAAAACATTTATTGGGCGTAATAACTTTGGGCGGCGCTCCCCACTCCTCACCCGCGCCGCTATGTTAGTTTTTACACGGATGATTTAAATGCTATTCTTCACTAAAGTTGTTTGCATGTTCGCGTGTAAGCTAGATTAAATTTCTGTAAATGTATTGTGATGCAAACATTTGTTTTTCACACGTACACTAAGTTTTATTCGTCCCTTTGGTTAAAGTTGACTAGACTGTAAAATAATTTATCGTTAGTCATAAGTAACAGAGAAACGGGAACGTATACAATGGTAGTCCTTAAATGTGTAGCTAGTTTAGTCTAGAGTTAACGATAGAGCACTCACTCTTAGAATTGAACGCTTTAATACCAGGAGCATTGCCATTCTTTGAAGGTAAAATAATGTGGTTCAACGATAACTGAACGTTAGATGTCTGATGGATGACTCATCAGCCGGTCATTTGATTTAGTAAGTCATCGTTGTTACGTATACAGTAATTCCCGTTCGTCTCATATTCTGCCGCGAGACGGATTCCACCATCGCCCCGAGAACAATGTTGCGTCTGGCACCGAACTAACCTATGGCAATGCGATAGTTGATGGATAGGCCCGCTCGCTTTCCTCGATGTTTTAGCGTGCTTCGGATTCCTGGTACCAGGCGGTACACCTGACGGTAAGACGACGCCGCCGACCAGTTGCCAACCGACGTCGACGGATGCGCCTTACACACGGTTAGCCGGAATCCGCTCGTATTCATAATCCGATAAGTTTACTTTTACCCTGATCAGCGTTATCATTCTCAAACGATTAACAAGGTTCGCAAACTGTACATCAAAGCGATTGATATTTCGCCCGCGTCAGTCTTTCTTTACGGTTTCATTGTAGTGGCACACTGTTAAGGCTTTTACTCAGCATTGGTGACACAAAATTTTATTTGTGCTTAACGTGTCATTTGACCACTATTTTGCACACATTATAAACTTATAAATATTGCATTATAACTGATGTATGTCGTATTTTATTTACGTACTGGTCAATTCTGCGTTCAGGTGGTTGAGTATGACTTACGTAAGCGCTTTTAACTCGACTTGTCTGCTGACTTAAAAAAATATCCTTACCACAGCGACGTTTATTGACGGCGTTGGCTTGCGGTTAAAGTGTTTACCTTCGATCCTATTTCTTGGATACGCACGTGACTCCTGATTCTCCATGTACGTGCGTGACTCTACTCTCAATGTCTTTACAAGACTGAAAGCAACCCATCTGGAAGTTCTCTTATGAAATTTCACAGACGTAATTGTAAGAAGGATGACCTTACGACTGGAAGGCAATGATGAAGAAGGTTGCATGTGAACTTGCTGCTTGAGATCCATCCGTATTAAAATCCCAGTGGCGTGGTAATCTTTTTTTTTCGTGCAAAAATTCCTGAACAATAACTGTGCTCGATGTGCATTGACATGACCGATGTATAATTCACAGATTTGACGCTTGATAAGGCTAAGTGTAGATTTATAGCAAAATCGAGATATACACAAGCATACTTTTAGCAAAACCATCTGAAATCGGCGAGAGGGATTTTGATTGGCAATAGGGGGAGTATACTCGCCCAATACCTATAAAATGCACTGCACAGCGACCCACTGTACGTTGATACATCATGCAATAACTGTGGTAGGATAGCACAACAGTTTCTGCCGGTACACGAATTGGCAGGCTCGTCCGGGGAAATATCACAACCACACTGACCAACGTGAAAAGAAAGTATTACCGTACCGTAGTACGTATCGTCTGGTAAGTTAACTGTAACTTGTTTTTAAGGTTGGCAAGATGCGAAGGCATCTGCAACTCCTTGGGTGTCTTAGACGTCAATGGGCAGTGGTAACATCAGAGAGGGATCTTTGACGGGACTGGAGTCAGACCTCATTCTGCCCAGTTGGTGGCACTGTACTTTAGCACCGTTGTGAAACACAGTCTTATCAAAACAAATATATCTTGAATGATCTCAATCGCTTAAGTCGTCGAAAGCTATTCCAAACAGTGGCACCAACCAATATTATCTGCGCATTTAAAGCATGTAAAAGGCATGAATAACTAGACAAGCTTATTAAAGATCAGTATGGCCTTTGTGAGGTTTTATACTTTCGCGTTGCGTAATGTTGTGTGTGATAACTGGCAGTGGGCCCTTGCTCTGAATTACTTTCTCATACAGTGTAGAACTTTCGAGAAGCGTCCCGCGTCGCCGGCGCGTCGGTTTGTTTTTGAAATATTGCCTCGCGTGGTGATCACTCAAACAATAACTGCTATGGCGCGACGCGTAAGATACATAACTACGGCAAACGACTACGCATTTCTCAAATGAAAAAATGGATATTAGCTTACTTTGAGGTGTGCTATAACGAAGAAATAAAAGAACATAAAGTTTTCCATAAAGTTTTCCAGACGAAACGCAGAAGTATAATACTTCCAGTTCACGTCGGTCTTCTCTAAGGTCGTGGTACTCACCCGGATGGAACAGCCCATTCGTGATACAGCTAAGACTGTTGACTGGTTACTTACCACAGTTAAAACATTATGATATATGTACTATACATGAGGTAACTTTAGGCCTGCTCTTACAATATGGAAACCGCACTACATCTTCTTTCCTTCAAAGTTCTGGATGTTTATAAGTGGTGCTAGTACCTCGTCTTTTAGTCATTATGTAGTATTTACTACATAAAGACAGACGGCTTCTTTATTGCGGGAACGCGCAACCAGCGCGGACAGTACTCTAATAAAAATATTAATTTTTAATGTGTTTTCTTTGTTTTGGCAAAGTAATCTCGGTTAACTCCACAACACTGGACCTTTTCTCACAAAATATAGTTTATAAACGTTTCGCACTACTGGAAACAATTAAAATATTTCCAGTATCGCTATAACCACAGCGCGCGAGCACTTGGAGCATGCACCTCGACCTGGTCATAACTCGCGCACCTTGACCTTTATAAGCGGAACGATCCGCTATCCTTTTTTTAAACTTTTTCTTCATTCGCAAAGGTCGTTGACTGTGCATGACCCGCGATGCTCGAAAACCATGAACACCACTACATAGTATAAAACAGTCGTCCCGCTGTCTGTCTGTCTCTATGTATGCTTAGATCTTTAAAACTAGGCAACGGATCTTG